ACCCCATTCTGTGAAATTTTCTTACAATGTAGGATCTGTGTCAGCAGTGAATAGTGAGTGAATGTACTCAGGATTAAAAGGGTCAAAAACTGATCAGGCTTTGGCAAAGCTGAAGTTGGCCATGAGCAGCTTTTTAATTTTATTTTTTTTATTATTTAACAAATAGATGTTATTTGGGTATATACAATTTAAACAAATACTCGAAACAGGTCATTTCTCTTGCTAAAGATCAAAGATCAATGTGTTACTCACAATTAGGGGAATAGGCAAAGATACACAAGTATAAGTACAAGTTTTCAAAAATAATTATTTTATCAAGAATGAGGTATTAAAAACAAAAATTTAAAATACACACACATTTTAATTAAAACATGCAGGTCTTCGAGACTCTTTATCAGCCCTCTACAAAGATATTGTGTAGCAAAAGCAAACTGCTAACTACACAACTAAGCAAAATGGAATTCAACGTATTTATAGTGGCACCCTAAACACCATAACCACTTGACAAAACCCAGGGATATTCACGGCATTCAGAGACCATCCTTACTTCAGCTGCACTGGTAATGATGTTTTAAATTTTTGCAGTACAATCTGTCCATCATCAAAGACAATGGTAGGCTGGGGGTGGGCTGATAGCAGTTACTATGGCAGGAAATAAAGGAAAATGTAGCCCAAAATGCTTGAGGGCCAAGTTTAGATATTAGTGCTGGACACTATCTGCAAAATTGACAGTAATGTCTCACAGGCTAGTGTATAAAACAGCACATTAACAAGGTTATTCACCAAACTGAGAATTCAAAGTGAATTTCAAATTTAAAGGGACAGTTTAGGCACCAGAACAACATCATCTACAGTAAGTTGTTATTGTGCCAGGAGGCCCCCGGGGCACTCTTACTTCAAGGAGTTAAACTGTTCTTGAACGATTTAACACTTAAGTGAGCCTCCAGCCCCGTTCTCAACTTCCCCAGGCTGCATCTGGCTTCTAAAATCCCTGTTTCAGGAAGCGTGGAGAGCCGCATGGAAGAGCCGCCTAGGAGAGGCGCACTGAGAGGGTCAGCTGAAGCTCTTAGTGAATCAGTGATTCCCCATTCGTAAAACTGTCTTGAAATGGGTATGTTTCTTTTCAAGGCATTTTTATGAATGGGGAGTCATTCGATTGGCTCAAAGCGTCAGCTCACCGCTCTCAACCAACCAGCGGTGCTCCTGCCTTGTGGCACGTCACACTTCCTGAAACTGAGATTTCAAACGCTGGATGCTGCCTGGGCGAAGTTAGAATCATTGCTGGAGGGTCATTTAGGGGTTTAACCGTTTGAATAAATTAGTAAGAGTAATATAAAAACATATATATATATATATATAATGTGGGACTGGCAAGCTTTGCCTTTTACAGTTTTGAGATGCCCTACATTTCATGGAAAGTAAGTTATGAAAGGAAAAAAACAAAACACTGTTGACCCATATGGATATCAATTGAGCAATCAACCAATCAGAATACCGAAATAATCTAAATCACAGTCAATGACTCGATAATACTCAAATCTAAATAGAATGAGAGCAGCTTCCTGTTTGCTACAAATGTCATACCTTAGCGATGCACACATGGAGATAGTCCCCTCAAGCTGCAGATCAAGTCACTCCTGCTAAAGCATGAAAATCCTTTTAACTTATTAAGAATGCAATGTGACTATTTCAAAATACAGCGCTAGTCATTTTCTTGCATTACATGAGATCAGTCGCGTAATTACGTGTGGATCAAGTTATTTCCACGCTGCAAGATAGAAAATAAACTAAACTGATGATCTAAGAATGATCTTTTATGAATTCCATTATTACAAAACACAAATTGAAGCGTCGTATCTTAAAGAGGGGGCATTTGTTTACTTAACACTATTAAAATACATTTTAATGGAAATCCCCCTGTTATCTTCCTAACCACATCTCAACTTTAGCCACCTCAGACATGGTTCCTTCGAGTCATTGTTTCTCATCTGTCATTTTTCTAAGCTCAATTTCTATCTGTAGGAAGTTTAAAATAATAGGACAATATTTATATTATAAATACATATATAAAATATATACTTCTTGGGGGCGGGGCCTGACCGCTGAACTGAGCAGACACGAAACTGTATAGCTCCTGTAACAGCAGGCAAGAACTAAGCCAAAACCAGGCCTGTAGGGCATCAAACCGACACAAAAGTGCCACCAATGGTGAGGTGCCACTGTGGGGTACATGCGGACACCAAACAATCAGCACTTTGGGCACGACATGGCAGAAAATTACTTGCGGCCTACAGGCATGGCGGACGCGGGGGAGGCGGCCGCTTCCCTGCAGTCCACCACGGCGGTAAGCACGACAAAAAGCCCACGTTCCCCCCCCTATGGACCGGCGGGGGTCATCCCGGTCCCAAGAGAGTTCGCCCAAGCAACGGAGCAGCACATCCAGACAGGGCCCATCCACACCAGACTGGTGCCGATAGCAACTGGGCCGTCTGGCACAAAAGAGGGTCCAGACATTCTGGCAAGGCTGAATGCCATATTCGAGGCATTCTGGCGAAGAATAGAGGACCGACAAGCACTGACCCCAGGCACGGAGGTACACTCACCACCACTGCTGCCTACACGCTCACAAAATCAAGGCTCACACCACGAGGAGAAACGAGCACAGAAATGGCGCCACAAGAAACGTCTCCTCCCGCCACCAAGCAGAACCTCGCGGGCGCATCCAGTAGCAAGGGAACCATCAGGCAAGCCTAAAGCCACTAAGTCCCGACCCACGCTCAGACCGATAACTCACACAAGCTACAAGAGACGCCGGCACCGCTATACACACAGGAGCAAGCCAAGGGGGAGCAGAAACCAGCAGATCCCAAGGGCAAACCGGCAACACAGCCAAACAGTGGAAAGATCGGACCCAAGACCACAGCCTAATCACACACCTAGACTGGGATGGAAGACATGCCGACGGCCCAACGAGCCACTGTGGGTCTGCCGACTGCCAGCAGAGGGAAGCAGCTACAAAGCCACCAGGGATGGCATCGGTTAAAGGGCAGAGAACTGACATGGGGATAAGTCAGGGTACCGACTACCCAAAGTCCGACCATACCCAGTTGTAAAACACTTTGATTTCCTGCCTTAGAAGCACGTTATTCCACAATTTTGTTTTAACCTGACAGAACACAACATTAGTGATGCCCACTTCACCCCACCTTATGTTAAAACGCACATCTATCTAGTTTCACTGCCAGATAGTCAACACACTGTACCCAGACCGCTCTCACCTCTCTGGGGCTGAAAGCACATCCCACACACAGACAAAGCAGCCATGTTGGAAATACCTTACCTAGCAGCTCCAAAACAAAGCAGAAATAGTCTAAAATCAACCTCTTGTATTATTACATTTCACCAAGTATCTAGAAAACCTCACCTACTAGGAATGCTGATGCTGTAATCGAACACTAGATAACTCACACAAGCGTGTTTATAAACCTGTTACTATACCTTAAAAAATTAGTGCTTGATAATCGCAATGCTTTTATACCATGTAAGCTTTGTACCCTGTATTTTTTGTTCTATGCCGTTGGGGCATGAAAAGCGGTATGTACTCACCTGCACTACAAAAATAAAGAATTAAAAAAAAAAAAAAAAAAATATATACTTCTTATAATATATAATATTTGCATATATCACATTTTGTATACTCTTCCTCCCTGGCGTCATTCTACCAATACCTGTAACACCTGCATTTGAAGGTTCTGCTAAAATCTTTGATATACCGGTATCTTTTTTTTTTTTTTAAATAGAAATGCAAATGTAAAAAACCATAGCCACCTTATTAAGGAATCAATATTTTGAAGCAAAAAGATATACTTGAATCAGCACGCACAAAATACGCCACACATGGTTTAGAGGCTTATATGCAGCAAAAGTTGTGTTAAAAGAACAGCTCAAAAAATAATACACATGTAATAACTATAAAGCAATCAAATATTTTTTATGCAGTTTTGAACTGATTGACAAAAAAAGCAAATGAGCCATGACATGACATAAAGGGGACCTGACATGACAAATACAACTTAATCCAAAAGTGGCTCTGAAACTATATTTAATGTCCAGCCACCAGACTTTCTATGACTCCCACCAAAGTTTTATGATAATTAGTGGCCCCAGCACTACTTGCCTCTACTCATGCTGTGCCTGTCCTTTGGGTTTTTCCAGAAATCTCCTTCTCTGACCTTTTTAGGCATAGTGCATCAATAAAGAGCATGCCTGGTGAGAACCTCTGGTGGTTTACAGCACTGTGTTGACTCTGTCCACCGCGCGAGAACAAACAATGAAAACTGGTGACACAACGCTAAAGGGAGGGGAGTACTAACTATTCAGCCAATGACAAAAGGCTAAGTGAAAAAGCAGACAAGTTCTCAGAAGGAAACAAAGCGAGGTATATCCATAACTTAATAAATGCTTTATTGGTGGGCCTGATATCGCAGAAAAACAGATAGAGAAAGAGGAGCAAGCGGGGAGAAAATCGTCTTCACCAGTCTGAACTTTTCATGGAATTTCTTTTCAGTCTATAAGAGAGGGCAACATGTCCTGGAGATACTGCAATACAGGTGGTCCTCATTTAGCTACCTACCTGTTTTACGACGGCTCGCACTTACAACCAGGCGTAAATGCAAGCCGTCGTAGGGATTCAGTCCTCTAGTGCGCATGTCCATGTTCGGGGAAACTTCCCCAAACATAGACGAACGCACCAGAGCAGGAAATCCCTTTAATCTATGTTTGGGGAAATTTCCCGAACATAGATTAGAGGGGTTCCCTGCTCTGGTGCATTTGTCTATGTTCGGGGAAGTTTCCCCCAAACATAAACGAGCGCACCAGAGCAGGGAATCCATTAACTCCTCACTTACCGACCAATTCGTTCTATGACAGGGGTCGTAGGAACGGAAGCCGGTCAGTAAGTGAGGGATGTCTGTCCACTTTGCGCATTGACGTGGTACAGAGAAAGCTCTCCTTCCAAAAATCCATTAAATATGTGGTCCCCAGACAGGGAACATATAAAATATTAAACTGATAAGAACAGATACTACATTTGACGTAGGTGAGTGAGGCAATGGAGTCTGGTAATATCACAAAGTTCTCTGCTTCTTTTAGAATCCTATTACATCCTTCAAGAAGAATAGTCTTCTAATCTTTACTGAAATTTTTCAATAATTAAAAAAAGAGCCTGACAAGTAATCATTTTCAGCCAGTCATCTGAATTATTTATATTTGTAGTTATTATAGAAAAGATGCTACAAGCTCCTCTTGTTTCACCAGATGACAGAGTTAGAGCGAATAACTATTATGTATTGAAAAATGTTATAACTGAGCAATGTCTGGCATGAATATGTAATCTGCTTTGTAAATGCCAATCTATCAAATTGTTCTAACAGATCAAACAAATTGCATTCAAAACACAGCAATTCATCAGCATGCAAAAAATTACATCTATGTTACACATCTTTTATTCAGCTAGAATAGAGGGGGGGGGGGATAGTTTTCTATAAATATTGGGGTGGTATGTAAACTAATCGTTTATAGCTGAAAAAAATAGTATTTGTTTCTTTAAAACGAAATAAATTAATGCTGTTGTTTGTTTTATATATCACAGGGGTAGTGTACTGTTGCATCAGTACTTTTTGTTTTCTGTCTATTGAGATCCTTTTCTCAGACAACTCATCATCTGACCGGTTTCTGCTACCTCTACAAAAACAGCTGGACGTTATTGTATGGTTTCGACAACGCACCGCTTTTTACAAAGAGAAATGTAATATTGGTTGGGCTCGCTTACATAATGCAGATCCTTAACCCCTTAAGGACACATGACGTGTGTGACATGTCATGATTCCCTTTTATTCCAGAAGCTTGGTCCTTAAGGGGTTAAAATCGATATTAGCGATTATTAACTGGTTTTCTGTAATGTATGTATATATATATATATATATATATATATATATATATATATATATAAAACATTGGACTTACTTAACCCCTTAAGGACACATGACATGTGTGACATGTCATGATTCCCTTTTATTCCAGAAGTTTGGTCCTTAAGGGGTTAAAGGCACTTTATGAACTTGAGATATCTGTATGTAGTCATTGAGATGCGTCCTGCTATCAATCAGTTTAACCCCTTAAGGACACATGACGGAAATATTCCGTCATGGTTCCCTTTTATTTCAAAAGTTATGTCCTTAAGGGGTTAATATGTTCTCTCTTTATTTAATTCCATACGCACCGAAGGCAGGAGTCTGCTACGCACTCTAAATTCCACATTTACCATGTCACTTTAGTTTTGAATGTGAATTAAAGAAAGTCGCCTTTACCTCAACCAACTGCTTCAAACTGACCCTCGGCAGACGGACTATGTATGTTCAGAGCCCACACTCTGGATTCTAACGTTCAATGGCTAGGTAGGAAAGCCTAGGAGGACATTACTGAAAGTATTATGCCATTTCACATTTTGCTGCCAATTTGGGAACCTTGATTTCCCAAACAAGATGCAGATCCCTAAATAGCACCGTAATCACTACAGCACCAGTGATTATGGTGCTTGGAGTGTTTCTTTAAGGCAGTGTATATATGGACACCATTTACAAGGAGAGGTAAGTATGAAAAGGAGACACAAAGTACATGCCAATATTTCAGATTATTAAAATGTATGATCTGGTATATATCCAGGAAAAATAAATAGTTTTTATAGGTTTAGGTTTTATTTTGTTTTTTTAATTTTTATGCTGGCAAATTTACTTTATGTCTTAAAAGATTGTTTTCCAAATTTGTTTAAATTATTCAGAATCATTCTGAACAATTGCAAGAAAATACAGTGTGTCCCATAATAAGCATTCTTTGGGTGCCTCTTATGTAATACAGGTAGGAAGTGCAGTAAGAGGAGTTTCCTCCCTTGGCTTATGGGTGCCATTTATTTTTATTGTAGAGGATATTATTAAAATCCTGGGGATTACACAAACACCCCAACAAGATACCTTTCCTCCACCACCATTCAATGATATCTACAAACGGACCTAGGCACGATGATTGCTATATTATTTGCCGAGATTGTTTGCAGCTATTTGTATATATTTCTTTTGACAGATGTTACAGACTTTGATGTAAAGCCCCAATTTTCCAGAAAAAAATACACTTATTTTAGAGCACGGAAAATCTGTGAACTGGTGGAATGATCTGATAAATCCACGAATATTGCTGAAAATGGCTACATTACTTATCTACCTAGCCATCTCTGGGTTTCTATAGCTTATAAACTGAACAAGCAATGTTTCTAAGCCTAATTGTTGCATAACAGAATTAAAAGAACATTCCAAATACCATAACCAAGAAACAGTGCACTACAGTGGTTATGGTGCCAGGAGTGGAACTGTAAGTAGTCAAACTGCTTGTAAACGGTTTGACAACTTACCTGGGGCACACCAAGTGCTACTCGCTAGAGATGTCGCGAACTCTCCGCCGGCGAACAATAGCGTGTTCGCGTTGGGCGAACGTATCCGATTTCCGGTCCGCCCCCTATACGTCATCATTGAGTAAACTTTGACCCGGAACCTCACAGCCAGCAGACACATTCCACCCAATCAGCAGCAGACCCTCCCTCCCAGGAAGTGTCTGCTGACTGTGAGGTTCCGGGTCAAAGTTTACTCAATGATGACGTATAGGGGGCGGACCGGAAATCGGATATGTTCGCCCAACGCGAACACGCTATTGTTCGCCGGCGGACAGTTCGCGAACAGTTCGGCAGACAGTTCGCGACATCTCTACTACTCACTTCTTTAATGCGTGCCTGCAACTTAGTTGATAGTCCTCATCCATTCAGCTAATCCTAGCCCCCAGCTGACACCAGGTAACCATTAGCAAACCGTTTGATTATTTACATTGGGGGTGTGCGTCCAAGTACCATATCCACTACAGCACCAGTGATTATGGTCGTCGGAGTGTTTCTTTAAGGCAGTGTATACATGGACATCATTCACAAGGAGAGGAAAGTATGACAATGACAAAAATGGCATGCCAATACTTCAGATTAATAAAAATGTAAGATCTGATATATATACAGAAAAAAGATTTTTCGATTTCTTTGGAATCTGTGCTGCAAAAACATTACGGCATTTGATTGTTTGGAGTGACTGTGAAGGAGATTTGTAAATAGCAGTTACTTTCTTGAGACAAGCGGCTGCTAATTTAAAAAAGACAATGGTTACATAGCAGACTATTTTAAAATGACCAAAAATATGATCAAATTCAGCAAACAAAGGTTTGAATGGATACATCATACAATGTTATGATTTAGGGATGGCTGATTAATATAAACAATTCTAGAGGGTATATACTTTGACATTCTTTCATTTTTAAAGAAATTTTACGAGTTTTATTATATTCTAAATGATCCTAGTATTCAGTTTCGAATAAATACTTTGGAAATATTCAAAACGTTTACCACTAAAAATAGAATATTAGGCAAATGAACACATCTCTGAAACTGAAAATTAGTAACCAGGAGCGGCAAAAAACCACAAGGGGAACCTCGATTCATACCTGCTGGAGAAGGTTGTTTAAAAAAGAGACAGATGCTCCCTTAACTGCACTGAATATCAGAAACTCCGAAAGGGGAACAAAATATTCAACATTAATATTATAGTGCTATGTAACTTGAGATGTTTATTTATATACATGCACAAACGGTGCATGGACAGCAAATCTGCAGTCAAATACTGTCTGGATACTTAAAGAGGAACCATTACTTATTTGGAAAAATCCCCTATAACTTGTGCTAAGTTTTTTTCATGTGATGCTGTATTTTCTTTTAAATGCAAGTTACAAATAGAACAATTGATATCACACTCCAGTTGTGTCCTGGCACAGCGAAGGCACACATTGCACTGATGGATAAGAAAATGTCTCTGCTGACAGACAGTTGCAAGGGGCAGGGCTTGTAACAATAATTGACAAAGTTAAGAAGCACTCGGTTCCATAATGAAAGGAAATACAAGTCTTCGCAAAGACATTTGCAAAAAAAATTAAAAGGATAAGTAAATGAAATTAAAAATCCTTTAAACTTGACAGGATCTTCCAAAATTCTGTTGGTCTCAATAAAAAAAAGGATATTACAAGATACTCACTTCATCGGTTATTTGTGTAGCTGTGGGAGGGACTAGTTTTGGCTATTTAAAGTACTTACCTCCTCTAGCCTGTAACCGTGTCCTGATCGGCACAGCACGTATCCCACCCTACACTCCCAATTTTCAGAACACTTTTCTGAACGAATTCCTTGGGTAGATAGTCTTGGTAGGCCTACCAATAATTCAGGTTATGTTTAAGTCTTACAGCTTATGGCCTTTTGTGTCCTGACCACAAATTTTACATTATATTAAAAGTGGCACCTCACAAGTATGAATGTTTAGGTGAGAGCAGTTCTCTTGGTTTCATATACACACACACACACTACCTGTTCAAAATGTTAGAAAGAAAAAGCCATTATAAAAACATAATAAACATGCTTTTTAAATATTAAAACATACTTTGACTATATATTTTTTCTGATATATCTGCTTATCCATTATATGTCCATTTAGGACCATCTTTATTAAAATGGTGGCCAACTCCGCCTCAAAGTCTTTCGGTAAAATAACCCATTCTTGTACTATATCATGGACTAAACCTCAGAAGAATGATAGATATCTAGACTATTTTCTGACCAGACAAATACCTATTTGTCATCACCAAGTGCTCTCACATTGCGGTCTTCCAGACACTGTCTTCCCTTAGACTTGAAACTGTATCTGTTGGGGAACTATAACTAGGATAAACTTTGCTTGTGATCTTATCCCTTTCCCGTATGGACATTTGCATGACTGACGTAGCAGCAGAATGTGAATCCAACACACAAATTATTTTGGAAGAGATGATTGAGACACAGAAATACAGAAACAATTTTAACCTACAAATCCTACTCTATTTTTGTTGAACACTGCTTGAGTTATTTTTTAATAATTCCTTTGAGGTCACTTAATGAGGATGGATAGAAAAGCTATATGTTTCTCTATAAACCCATGT